AAATGCGGCCTTTAAGGCTGCAGACCCTGAATTGGGATACAGCAAGAGATTACTACAGTCCCCATGATGCAGTCCCACAGGAGGCTAAGTCTATCTGCTATTTGGTTTGTGGGACACACCTTAAAATGCACGTAGTGGATGTCAGTAATACTAACAGACAGGTATATGCTTGAACCCAACTCTGTTGTCTCAAGCCCTTCTATCCAAAAACAGGAAAAAGCTCATGAACATTTGGGGTTTTCTGACTCGATGAGTGATGTGCTGAGTTGAATATTAGTTTCACAGCTGCTTAACGTGGCTGATTTAAAGCGTTTGTATCATCCTCTTGTTACACCTGAAAATCCATTTGTGCTGCCGCCTGTAATACTGCAGCTTATAAATGTTGTTTTCCTGTATACGGCTGCGCTCACCACTTGAAAAACAAAATCATTTTACAAGTTTTAATGAGAGTTTTGAAGCATCTGTGATAAGATGGCTATTAGAAGTTGGTTCGAATTGGATTTTTTCTGTAAATCCATACAAATCGCCTCTGAAATCTAATTTAGTTTTCAACATTTGCGAGGAAATGTAAATTTGTTGTTGAACTGATTAAATTGCAGCACCCGCGGGGGGAAAATGACTTGGCTGTTAGGGCACCTCTAACGATGGTAGCACCTGATGAATGTGCAGGCTCTTTCTTCCTTCTTCAACAATTGCATGAATCACAGGGTCCATAAAGTGGAGGCTAATGAGGCTGCTGTTCCAGCTGTACGGAGTTAAACAGCTGGCAGATGCTCCGGTCGGCCGTCTGCCCGTCACAGAGCGCTTCGTTTCCATTTACATTCATTTGCATTCTGAGCTGTACTCACACGGCTGGCAGCAGCTCGTTGCCTGTTTTCCCATCTTGTTCTACAGCATCAGGAGTTGTAGGAAGCTGGCAAGTTTATGACTTCGCCCTTCATCAGTATCTCGGGTTAAAGTCCTGAACTATGCTGCTGTCTGAAAATGAGATTTCTGAGATGTTTTTTATGCTCTGAGGTTTTCTCCTGTGAAAATTTTGTGCCAGCACCACAGAAACAAAGCCAATAGAGGTTATTTAGGAGCATACTAATATCCTGATGGTGACGCTGCCACAGTCATAAAGACTTGAAGTGGCCTGGCATAAATCTACCACAGTGCACGAGCTCCAGAAAGGGAAGACTCACAACTCGTTTTTGTTTACTTAGCTTTAACATGTTGGTTAGATGTAGGCAGCAGGGTTTAGTCACTGTGTTGGTCTATGACGTTTGATCTTATAGTATCTGTGTGTCCATGTGTGCTGTTACATCTGTGTCTTAGGCTACGTCCACACGTACACGGGTATTTTTGAAAACTGAGATTTTCCGTTTTCGTTTTAAAAAATAATCCCGTCCACACGTAAAGACAGAAATGAAGGAAAACGCTGCTAGGAACATGCCAAAGCAGCAGGTGGCGCTACATTCCTAACCGTGTAGAAATGTTGGCCAATCAGAAGTCTAGAAGCCTCGGTGGGAAAAAGTAAACAAAGCTGGGGCGTAGAAGCAGAACTGAGTCGTATGTGTGGAGGGACAGTAACTGTGTGTATGTAAGCATTTAAACACTGCAGAGACAATTAACAGTAACAGTATTGTAGAAATTCATTTCACCAAAACAATAACGTGGCGCACAGTGTGACGTCAAAAAAGGCGCACACCTTTGACGCTGCGTTTTCTTCATTTTTCTCATCCACACGAAAATGCAAAAACAGAGTTTTCAAAAATATCCACCCTGGCCGGAGTTTTTAAAAATCTCCGTTTTCAGTGACCAAAAACGCCGTTTACGTGTGGACGAAAGGTGCAAACGCATAGAAAAATCTGCGTTTTCAAAAATACCCGGGTTAGTTTCATGTGTCTGTATTTGTCTGTTTCCCTCACTGCTGTAGTTCTTTGTTACCTTTTATTAGACGTTACCTGTTGCTTTACTTCCACCTCCTTGCCTACCTGTGTTTCATGTCATGTTTGTCCTCGTGTCCTCCATATGTTCCTCTTTGCATTTCCACTGTTGAGATTAAGCCCAGAGATGAAAACGAGATGAAATATAGTAAAATTTAAATATTAGTTTTGGGTATCGGACCCTAGGCTGTATATTTTTCTGTAAATTGCACACTTTTGACACATACATATGCTTTAAAATGTCATTAAATTGTAGTTTGTGCTTATTTTACAAACCTTGAAGTAAAAATTATGTAAAAACGTGAGAAATGATGAATGAGGGAGGATGCAGATACAGGCCTCTCTGATGTTCAGTTCGGTTAGAGATCCGGCACAGATTCATCCTGGCTGTTTGGCCACAGTCTGACGTCTCCGTCGATTCTTCTGAGTGCTTTTTGCCAACAATTACAGATGACTTCTGTTCCTCTCTGCCCTCTGTTATCTCCATCGATCTGCTCCCAGCTGCCAATATGTCTCCCGGCTGAGGACACTGGAGGTTCAGTAAAACTGACCCGCGTGCCGTCAGCACGCCCTCGGCTCCCGGCGAATTACAGTCAGTGATGCACTCTCCTCAGCCATGAGTCCAGTGGATTTAAGAATAAGCACAGAGCTGGGTGAAAGATGCATCTGAACAATTAACTGCATATCACTTAGCTAAAGTCTTTTAGCTTTGGAGAGTGGAAAGTCGAGCAGCGAGAGGGCCTAAGAGATCCATATTAGTGGTTTCAGAAGTCTTTGTGCTTTATGTGAGGGACACGGTGGGACGCAGGTCTGAGCTGATGTTTGGAAGTGTGGAAATTCTGGTTTCAAAAAGCGGAGGACCAGGTTTGGTGAGCGTGTTCTGGCTCATACTTCCAGCTTCTCAAACATGGCTTTTAGCACACGGTGTTTGTCTTTCAGCACCGCTGCATAATGTTTAGCTTTCAGAGTCCAGGTCATTTGAAAACAAGGCCTCGAACTAACCACAGAGTAAACCGATTAATAGAGAAGAAAGGAAATCAGCAAACACACACTGATACCACCGAAGGTCTGTCTTTAACACCTCGATACAGAAATGTTGATCCAGTAAGAGAGCAGATGAGGAACCTGGGATTTTCTCGATGATTAAACTTCAGGATGTTCTGGCTCCATGCGGACCATCTCTGCACTTTATACCACGAGGTAAAGTGTAGGTTATATGGACTATAAAGGAAAGCTATGAAGGAATGAGGGAAAAATGCAAATCATTCTTCAGTACATGTGGAATTAGATTTAGAAAACAGGATTTATGCCAAGAATGAGAAGCAATTCATTATGAAACTCATCTTCAGGAGGAGCAACTGCACAGCTTCAAAATTAGCTTTAAAGTTTTGAAAAATAATAAAATGGCTTGTAAGATTTGAGCAGCACACAGCAGACAAGGTCGCGGCCTTATTTTGAGAAGGATGGATATATAATCTACTGCAGCAGGTACACGAGCAGAGAGCTGCAGCTCATTACCTACAGATCTGATTTACTGTACAGCCTGTGCTGATTTGCGTATGTGTAATATCAAGAGTTAAATCCACAGTGAGACAGACACCAGTTAAAAAAACGGGAACGTGTTCTTACAAATTAATCATTTAATCAGCTGGAAAGAAATCATTTCTTTGAGTAATAATGATTGGTACACAGTTCACTGAGGACTTAATTATAATCACAACTTTATGAGAGATTTTACGTCTCTCTGGAGAAACTTTCTTTTGATGCTAAAAGAAGCACAAATAAATACTACAGCAGCATTTCAAAGTTATTGTGTGATAATGTTTCATTTCAGATCCTAATACAAAGTACAGGTAGGTTAGGAAGCAAAAAGGAAACGTTAATGAAACATGGTGCAGTTTTTTTTAAGTTTTCCCATAAAATAAACTAAGCTAAAAAAAAAAAGTGTAATTTTAAATGGATATATATGAATATGCATCTGACTCAGAGCCATTTACATATCACTGAGTCCTACTCAGAGACTGCATATGAAACAATGACATAACTCCAAAAATGGAAACCTGTCCAAACACCTTAAAACAAAAAGTAGTCCTGCTGTGAAAAATGACCTTTGGCTCCTTTGATCCACTTCTCCTGATGAGTTTATGGTTTCATCTGCCCATTTCAAGCCTTATTAGATATAACATGATGTTCATTTTTCAAATATGATCCCCTTTAAAGTCAAAAAGCACAACAGAGCCAAGTATGCTTCATACTACCTTGTGATTAACCAGCGGCTATCATACGAGCACGCCGCGGCCCGTGATTCCTCAGGCTCTGCTTTAATAAAGAAAATAAATAAATAAATATAATAAAGAAAGAAAGAAAGAAAACTTTTCAAAAATGAGACTTTGGCTGCATCATCCAACGGCACTTCTTAAAGCGGAGGACGGATTGCTGATCATATCTCTCTGAATATTTACTTAAAGAAACCAAGTAAACAGGTGAAGCTGAGCATCAATCAGCTTCTAGCTGTTGACTGGTTTGTGTAGTAAACTGTTGACTGGTGCAGCTGCAGGTTTCTCCCGTCGGTGTGTCTGAGCAGAATCACACAAAGCATCCTGGCCTCCTGCCAGCTCTCTAATCTCTTCCTCCTCCTCCTCTTACTCGTCCTCGTCTCACTACCTGTGATTTATGGCTGAGCACAATGAAAGGTGAAGGCTGCGTGAGGCAGCGACCAGGAATTTGTGAGTGTGTGTGTGAGCAGCTTTTCAACACTGGAACTGTAATCTTGTGGAGGACTCGCCTATTTATCTTTTAACTAATACCACAGATTGAAAAAAACCCTCTAAAATCAAATAAATATCCAGTTTCAGTGATTCGTGTTAGTGGAAACATTTTCCCAGTATTGAACTTTGTTTGTCTAAATTATGTTTATGTAGTAAATTGCAGCCTCAAAGTTTATTGGAGGGACATAATGCTATTTATGTAACGATCACCATGAAGAAGTCGTCTTCTTGCTTAACCTCCTGCTTGGAATCAATGGATTCATTTATTCAGAAACTTCATATGAAAAATGTTTTCTCTCTGCAGATATGGAGACATGGTCCCAAACACCATCGCGGGGAAGATCTTTGGATCGATCTGCTCTCTGAGCGGCGTCCTGGTGATCGCCCTTCCTGTACCCGTCATCGTGTCCAACTTCAGCCGGATCTACCACCAGAACCAGCGAGCGGACAAGAGGAGAGCACAGCAGGTCTGATTCTGACGTTTCAGTATCGAGCTGCAGCGTCTAGGTTCTGATGCAGGTTTAAGACAACACAAATAAAAACCATGTAACTAAACATCCACCTTTGACCTCTTCAAGCTCCACCCA